GAAAATGTGTGAATATTTGGAATTATGTATAGTAAATAAAATGTTTACAATATTTAAGAAATTTGGCATATTAGCACATTTAACCAAATACATTGATGATTCAATTTAAATGCATAATAATTGACTTTAGTTGAGAGGAGAAAAGCAGTCACTATAGGCCAGGAAGGACTGGGCTGGGGCAGGATAGAGAAGGTTGAATAATGGTACTAAAACACAGTTAGAAAGAAGGAATAAATTCAAGCATTCTACAGCTAGAGATGGAAATGCTAATTACTCTTGGTTGAATGATTATGAATTATATATGTGTATCAAATTATCACATCATAACCCATAAATGTGTTTGATCATCACGTATCAATTTAAAAATTTAAATGAAAAGTACCTTTAATTTATTATTTTATAATACTGTTTAAATAGTTGGCAAAGTGATACTTGCTAGTAATAACTTTGGGGAATTTAAGTATTATTTGTCAAACCCTTTACAGATACATACAGCTAGCTCTCCTGAGTGAATTTGTTAGAGTATAGTTTTTCCCAATGACTGCTGAAAACTAGATTTGGATAAGAAAATGTCCTACACACATATCCTATTTYGAACCCTAAGTCCTTTCTGCCAATTAAAAAAACCCTGCCCCCACATCACCCCAACTTTGCTTCCTTCTTTCCTGTACYTTACCACTGGCAGAGTAAACATGACTCAGAAACCAGGTCCTCAGGTTGTAACATGAAATGATACACCGCTCATTTCATTACAGGGTAAACCAATGCCTTTTTTCATTAGTCTGGTTTCTCYAGAAGGTGTGTTGCTGCCTGCATTTCTGGGAAAGAACTCTCACAAGTGTGGAAAGAAAGGGCTTGCCACAGGTTTGGGCTTCTAGGGACCTTTCTCTTCAGGAAGGATTTTAATGTTCATCAGAAATACCTCCAGAGAAMTCAAGAAGCTGTAGAGGTGAAGTAAGCCTGTGAAGAATCAGAATGGGAATCCTGTACTCCGAGGTATGCCATGTTTCTGCAGGTAGAATTCCAAAAGTATTAAAAATGGATCATGCTTTTAAAGTATAGTTTCCTATCTTTGGTTTTATGTCTTCCTTTCTTCTGTTTAACTTTTTATGTGAGCATTAAGTTAGAAAAAAATAAAATCCTGTGTGCTAGAATTTTTGGTGTTAAATATTTTAGCATAAGTTATTCCATAATACTAAAATGTTAGCTTGGTCTGAGCTGAGAGCCATATGACACTCATTTCATTTATTGGGATGACTTGGACCTTGTGAAGTTGAGTTTGAGTGGGCTTTTCTCCTGCTAAACATCCAAAGGGAAAGTAAAAATTATACCCAACTGGATTTTCTAAACATCAAAATAAAAAGATTGTCTCTTCTGTGGAACCACATGAATACAGTAATACCTTTTACCTTGGTATTTGAAAGAATTACCTTAAGCAATTATTCATAAAGACTACCACTGTATAGAACAGAGAGGAAAGCAGTATATTTTTGATGTTTTGAGTATTTTTTTTAATATCTGCTAGATACAAAATACTCTTTCCTTGTATTGAAAGTAAGTTACTGGAATCAAATAAATCTCTAATGAGGTTGCAGGGAGAACAAAGAACTATGTTAAACAAGAGTACAGGAGGTGTAATGTCAT